CGTGTATTATTTTCTGCATTTGGAGGGGGGAGAGCCTGCCTGAGAAGAAGAATGGAACTTTCATCTGTGCCAGAATTCAGCATGCCTGGCAGGCAATAGCTGCTCAGGAAGTATGTGATTAAGAGAGGGAGAGAAAAAAAATAGGGAAGGAAGGAGGAGGAGGGAAGAAAAGAAGGAAGGGAGGAAAGAAGAAGGAAGGGAGGGAGGGAGGGAGGGAGGGCGGGAGGGAAAGGGAAAGCAAGCACCTCTGCTGAGATTGGGTATATTGATTTCTCCTCTCTGAGACTCAGATACCTCATCTGTAAAATGTTGAGAACACATTGTGAGGCAGCTGTAAGGAGAAGTTAAGGTTGCAGATGGATGAAAACTTTGAAGGGCAAATGAAAATAGAGTGTGTAACAGTAATTTCACACATGGCAGTTTCCATGAATATACTTTGTACTGTCAAGTATATGTAATGTAAATGTGAAACCCTACTTCCATGAAATGGTTGGTCAAAAGGGACCTGTGCCTTTATCTGTGAGTATACCCTTTGTGAGCTCATTTTTTTAAAAGTTGGGCATCAGCAATATTGAAAGTTCATGGAATCAAAATGCATATGAAACACAAAGAAATGGGAGAAGAATTAGGACCTTGGACTCATTATTTTCTAACGTACAGATTACCTTGCTGCCTGCTCCTTGGCCCTTCCCCATGACCACATAGCAACAGCCACAGCCTGAAGAGGAAGAATCCATGGACACTTGTGTCCTTGCCAGGGGAGACTCACAGTGATTCTCAACCTTCCTAATGCCTCGACCCTTTAATACAGTTCCTCATATTGTGGTGACCCCCAATTTCATTGTTACAAATTGAACATAATTAAAGCATAGTGATTAATCATAAAAACAATATGTAATTATATATACGTTTTCTGATGGCCTTAAGCGACTCCTGTGAAAGGGTCGTTCGACCCCCAAAGGGGTCGCGACCCACAGGTTGAGAATCGCTGCTCTAAGGGCTACAGGATTAAAGTTGCCGCTGTACTTTGACTCCAAGTGTTCCTTTGTTAGACTGACAACAGCTTGTGGACAGCATACCAGAACCAGGAAATCCAGCAGATCCAGATGGAGGAGAGAAATGTCTTCTGTGGGACTTACAACATCCATATTCTCTCTGACACGTAGGTTCTGAATCTAGGTCTTCAGAGATCCTTAAATACTGGCATCTTAGGATTCCCATGACCCCTGTTCACTTGGAAAGGCAATCCTTCCTCATCTCAAACTCTAAATTAACATGAGAATAGGTGCTTGATGTTTGCACCATTATCAGCAGTGAGTGGGGGATATTTTCCCCTTATAAATTTTGGATATACTGACCAACAAATTTATGCACAATTTATGTGCATAAAATCTTTCTTTCTTGAAATAGTTTTATTGTTTTATTCTAATTTCAGAAGTAATATATGCTTACTGTGTGTGTGTGAGGGGGGGGGAGCCCACCAAATGCCAGAAAATGTATAGATAAAAGCAAAGATCTCCTATAATCTTGTCTTCTAGAGATAATCACCATTAATACTGGTGTCTATTCTAAAATTTTTTTACAAAGCTGGGGGCTTAGCTGGCCTGCAAACCTCCTCCAAAAGGCCCTTGGCCCCTCACCCAGGCCGGCCATGCCCCCCAGTGGGGATCCTCACCCCGATGGGGGCGTGGCCAGCCTGAAAACAGCCCTCAGCCCCTCACCCAAGCTGGCCATCAGCTCCTTGCCCAGGCTGGCCATGCCCCCCAGTGGGGACCCCCACCCCAAAGGGTGTGTGGCCAGCCTGCAAACCACTCCAGCACCTCACCCAGACCACACCGCCCCCAGTGGGGACCCCCAACCCAATGAGGGTGTGGCTGGCCTCCAAACCACCCCAGGCCCCTCGCCCAGGCCTGCCCTGCCCCCCAAGGGACCCCTACCCTGATCCAGGACCCCCTTCAGGATAGACCAGCCAGCCCTCACCTGTGCACCAGGTGTCTATCTATACTGTCTATACTAATAAAAGGGTAATATGTTAATTAGACTGGGAGACCTTCCAGACAAAGCCAAGGTGGCGAGGCTGAGGCAGAGGTGGTTAGGGGTGTCCAGGCCAGGAGGGGAGGGCAGTTTTGGAGTGATCAGGCTGGTGGGGGGGCAGTTGGGAGCAATCAGACCAGCAGGAGCAGGCAGTTAGGGATGAGCAGGCCAGCAGGGGGGCGGGGGGCAGTTAGGGATGAGAAGGCCAGCCGGGGGGCAGTTGGGGGCAAGCAGGCTGGCATGTAGAGTGGTTAGGGGCGATCAGGCAGGCAAGCAGGTAAGCAGTTAGGAGCCAGCGTCCCAGATTGTGAGAGAGATGTCCCTATGGGATCGGGCCTAAACCGGCAGTCAGACATCCCCCGAGGGGTCCCAGATTGGAGAGGTGCAGGCCAGGCTGAGGGACACCCCCCCATGCACAAATTTCGTGCACCAGGCCACTAGTGCTATGCATATTTCTGTAACACACTCCAGCAAAATACTGTGGCTATCTTTCCATGTTAAATATGAAGATAGTATTTATGATAACTACATAGTGTGATGTCATTTGGATATGCTGTAAGAAGATCCTTTAATAATCAACTTTCTGCCATACTTTAGGCCTAGGATTTCACTCTTCATTCATACGGCTTTGTGAAGGCCATCTCTATTTTATTTTTGGCTGTGAGTCACACTAACAAATTGCATATTGACCAGTCCTTAAGGGAAAGGCAGAGCAGATAGGAGATCGGCAAAGTTGACTTTTTATGAGTGGTATGGCGATAAATACTCTTTAGAAAAGATGGTGCCTGGTTGAACTCAAGATATGACAAATGCAATGAGAACAAAATTGCTTCTCATATTTAGAGTGACCATACATCCCTTTTTACTGAAACAATCCCACTTTACTCTGTGATCCTGGGGTAATTAATAATAGTGTCCCCTTTCAAGGTAAAAAATATTTGGATAATAAATTATTTGGTCATCCTGATCATATTTTATGTATTTACTAGTAATATTATGATTGGAAAATTAATTCAACTCACCTTTTTTTTTTATCAGACTACAAGCTCATTGAAGTCAAGGTCCATATCTTACTCATTTTTGTATCCCCCATGGCTCCTATTAGCTCAGAACTTGGAACTTAATATGTGTTCATTGGATATTGGTTAAGAAAAATTTAAAAAAAAAGAAATAGTGGTATATGCAGTGGGTATAGGGCTTCCCAACTGTGTTCCTCTGAGGTTTTCCATGAAAAAAGGTTTCTGTGGTTAAATAAGTTTGGGGAATACTGCATACTCTATTCTCCTATTCTCTTTCTTGGGGATTTATCATACATTAATTAGCAGATTTTTTTGGTAGTTTTTGCCCTTTGTCTTTAGGTTTTAAATTTACCCCAAGTGGATTTTTTGTTATGCTATGAGGTAGAAATCTATCAGGGCCCATTAACACTAGTCCTTTATCTCGGCTACTGTCCTTGTTGGAAGGCCTTGACTTTTCGTATACTTGCAGGTAAAACCACTGTGCTAGTGAGTTCCAGGCAGGACACTAACTCTCTTTTCATGGATCATCCTTTTTCCTGGCAACTCAGGTGGGACAGAAATAGAATCATCCACTATTCTGGGGGAGATGTGGTAGCTGTGTCATCCAATCGGAAGATCCAGCTTCTGGACGTCTTACAAGCAAAGGAGATCCCCGTCCAGTTCCGAGGCCACACTGGGAGTATTCGTGCCCTCTTCGTGTGTGAGGAGGAAAACGTTCTCCTGAGCGGGAGCTATGACCTGAGTATCAGGTGAGTGGGCCAAGGAGTTGTGGTTCCTCACAAACCCCAGTTTGTGGAAGAAAGAAGTACATATACTTTTTCCTTTTTGTAGTTATTGAAAAGTTATCCTAAATAATACTAACTTCTAGAATAGTCCACAGCATTTTGCTTTTTTGGCAAGGTAAAAACCAAGAATTTGTATATTGTTTAAACTTTGAATGAGATAGGCTTATAACAATGATCAGACCTACTAGCATTTTCTAGTTGAAGACTGTGAATCAGAAAGTATATTTTTAGCATTCCTAGATGAAGGCCCAATTTATATTTCCTTTTATAGATTCCTTCAGGGAAAGTATTTTTTGTGGGTTTGAAATATTGTATAGAAGTAAGATAGTGTTTGAAATGTGTGTATATATATATATATATATATGTGTGTGTGTGTGTGTGTGTGTGTGTGCGTGTGTGTGTATATATATATATATATATATATATAGATATATATATATATATTTAAAGAATAGAAGAAGGACCATTGTACTCATTACTCAGGACAAGAAATAAAACATTGTTAGTCTCCAAATCCCATTATGTGCCTTTCCCTTATTGCTTCTCTCTTCTTCCCAACCAGAGGTAATGTTATTCTAAATTTTATACTAATTATTCCCTTATATTTTTATAGGTTTATTTATAGTTTTGCTACTTAGTTATATATCTCCAAATATATTTATTACTTTGGTCCATTTTTGAACTTAACATAAATGGAACTGTTTTAAAAATTCATCCATATTTGATTTCTTACATTGAACTATGATTTTGAGATGCATCCATATGATGTAGGCAGCAATAATTAACGTATTTTTACTGAGATATAGTGTTTTATTGGGTGAATATATCTTAACTCATTTATTTATTCTGTTGTTAGTGGATATTTGGATTGTTTCTAGGTTTTCTATTCTTTCAAGAAGTGCTGCCATAAGTGTTCTTGGATTTGTCTCCTGGTGCCTGTATATATGAGTTTTTAGAAAAAAATTTTATTGGGGGTATAATTGGCATACAACATTTCTGTTTTAGGTGTAAACAAAACCCATCACCACGCATAGTTACAGTTTTTTGTTGTTATGATGAGAACTTTTAAGATCTCTCTTATTAACTTTCAAATATATGGCACAGTATTGTTAACTGTAATGCATGAATTTCTTATCTTAATTTTGACAGTATTGCAGTTGTACTCCATTTCCCCTTACTTTGCACCCAGCCATGCCTCCTCAGGTATTCCTCACACTATTGTCTGTGTCTATGGGCTATGCATATATGCATATATGTTCTTTGGTTGATCTCTTCCAATGCCCCCTACCCCACTCTCCTCTGATATCTGTCAGTCTGTTCCATGTAGCCATGCCTTTTGTTTGTCAGTTAATTTTGTTCATTAGGTTCCATATATAAGTGAGATCATGTGATATTTGTCTTTTTCTGACTGACTTTTTTCACTTGGCATAATCTCTAGGTACCTCCATGCTGTCACAAAGAATAAGAGTTCCTTTTTTATAGCTACATAGTATTCCATTGTGTAAATGTACCACAGCTTTTTTATCCATTCATCTACTAATGGACACTTGGGCTGTTTCCAGATCTTAGCTATTGTTAATGCTGCAATGAACCTAGGGGTGCATATATTCTTTCTGATTGGTGTTTTAGGTCTTTTGGGATATATCCCCAGAAGTGGGACCTCTAGACCATACAGCAGTTCCACTTTTAATTTTTTTAAATGATTTGTTTATTTATTTATTTATTTTAATATATTTTATTGATTTTTTATAGATAGGAAGGGAGAGGGATAGAGAGCCAGAAACATCGATGAGAGAGAAACATCAATCAGCTGCCTCCTGCACACCTCCTACTGGGGATGTGCCCGCAACCAAGGTACATGCCCTTGACCAGAATCGAACCTGGGACCTTTCAGTCCGCAGGCCGACACTCTATCCACTGAGCCAAACTGGTTAGGACCCATTTTTAATTTTTTGAGGAAACTCCATACTGTTTTCCATAGTGGCTGTACCAATCTGTATTCCCACCAGCTGTGTACTAGGGTTCCCTTTTTCCCACATCCTTGCCAGCAATAGTTAGTTGATTTATTGATAGGAACCTCACTGGTAGGTGTGATTTGATACCTCATTGTAGTTTTAATTTGCATCTCTCTGATGATTAGTGAGCATTTTTTCACATGTCTATTAACCATCTTTATGTCCTCTTTAGAGAAGTATCTATTCAGTTCCTTTGCCCATGTTTTAATTAGATTGTTTATCTTTCTGTTGCTGAGTTATATATGTTGTTTATATATTTTGGAAATGAACCCTCTATCAGATGTACCATTAGCAAATATATTCTCCCATACAGTGGGCTCCCTTTTCATTTTGTTGATGGTTTCTTTTGCTATGCAGAAGCTTTTTATGTAATAACTAAGAACTTTATAATATTGCTATTGTAAATAGTACTTTATTTTCATTTATATTTTAAATTGATTATTACTGGTATGGAGAAACAATATCAATTTTTCTAGTTTGATTTTGTATCCAACAACTTTGCTAATGTTTCTTATTAATTTTAAAAGTATGTGTGTTGATTTTGTTTGCCTATGTAGATAACCTTATCAATTGAAAATAATGACAATATATTACCTTTTTTTCCAATAATTGTAGTATTCTTTTTTTGTTCTTTCATCCTGACTTTGCCTGGGCCTTCCAGCTAAGCAGTAGTAGTAAGAACAGGCATACATATCTTATTCTCCTTTCTTTAAAAAAATATTTTATTGATTTTTACAGAGAGGAAGGGAGAGGGATAGAGAGCCAGAAACATCGATGAGAGAGAAACATCAATTCAGTTGCCTCCTGCACATTCCCCACTGGGGATGTGCCCACAACCAAGGTACATGCCCTTGACTGGAATCGAACCCAGGGCCCTTCAGTCCTCAGGCCAATGCTCTATCCACTGAGCCAAACCGGCCAGGGCTTATTCTCCTTTTTGAAGGGAGTACATCTATAGCAAGTATATTTAAGTATCATGCTTGCTGTTACAACTTTGATTTTATAAGTTTATAAAATCAAAACATTTTCTTCTATTCCTATTCAACAAGTTTTTATCAAATACATTTTCTGTATGTATTTAGAAAAACAACCTGGACACATGGTCGGCCATGTTGCTAGAGATGGAAATTCAAAACATGTGTTTTTTTTAGACTACTGGGACATGGTCAAACACACTGTAGGTGCATAGCAGGCTCTGACAAACAGGTAAGGTCATACGACACTTGGGAGTATTAGAAGAAAATCTTCACATTCAAAGAATGTATTATTAATAATAATTATTATATTTTATCATTAATCATATGTTATGCCAAATCTAATAATAACTGCATGAGGCAAGTGCCATTATTATCCCGTTTACAGATGAGGAAACTGAGGTATAGAGTTATTTATTAAATTTTCCAAGATCACACAGCTAGTAAGTGATGGACCTGGGCTTGGACCTCAGGCATCCTGGCTCCAGAGTCTACTAACTAAGCATTTCCCTGTGACCTGCCACAGAAATAACCTGGCTGAAGTGGAAATTTGTAATAATTATATTTAAGAGACCTCAGGCAAGCCTGTTTATTAAACAGCAGTGTGACACATACATGTTTCCATATATCTATTAGATACGTTTCAGAAATATACATAAAATATTTTGGATCTGCATGGCTGTGGTAATTCTTCTATTTCTATTATTCAGCAAGTGTTTATCAAATATATTTTCTATATGAATTTAGAAACACAACCTGGATACATGGTTGGCCAAGTCGCTAGAAACAGAAATTCAAAACATGCTTTTTTTAGACTCCTAGGACATCGTCAAACACACCGTAGGTGCGTGTTGGCTCCGACCAACAGGTAAGGCCATAGAAAAGTTGGAAGATCAGCTCTACCATTGAATCAGTGCCATGAATTTTAGGCCTGGTGGTCATTCCAGGGACCCTTCCACCTATTACCAAGTAACAGTTATCGAGCATTTTCTACACGTAGGTTACTATTCTAACGTTACATGCCTTAACGTGGGGTTTCTCAACTTCAGCCCTATTGGCATTTAGGGCTGGAGAATTCTTTCTGTGGAGACACTCCTGTGAATTGTAGGAGGATAACAGAATCCTTGAACTCTATACGCTAAATACCAGGAGCACCTCCATCCCCGCTTGTGACAACCAAAACTAACTTCAAGCATTGTTAAATGTTCCCTGGGGGTAGAAATCACCCTGGGTTAACAATCACTGCATTTGTGAATTTAATTCTTCACAAAAATCCTATGTTGTAACTATTAATATTATCACTTCCATTTTATCAATCAGGAAATGAAGCCTACACAGAAATTACGTAGCTTTCCTAAAGTTACACCTAATAGGTACTATAACTGAGATTAAATTCCAGGCCTCTGAGCTTAATCAGGAAACTTTTCTGCCTTACAACTACTTTTTGATCTATAGGAACACTATACAGTATGAACCCTTGGGTCCTAAGAAAATCTAAAAAAAATTTTTTTTGGCCTAATTCCTGCAGATACTGGGATCTGAAAAGTGGGGCTTGCATACGAATCTTCACTGGCCACCAGGGGACAATCACTTGCATCGATTTATATAATAAAATGCTCGTGTCTGGAGCAAAAGATTGCCAGGTAAAAGGTGAGAGGAAATGCCCTTAACTTTCTAAGAAGTTTCCCCAAATCCATAGGTTGCCAAAAATACATATTTTGGTCATTTCTACAGGCACCCACTTTTTTTTTCATCCATCCACCCATCTATATACCTATTGATCCATTTCTTTGACAATTGTTGGTTGAATATGTACAATATGCTAGACACTGTGTGAGGTATTAAGGAAATAAAATGAGTATGATATGGCTCTTTCAATACAGCTTTTTATTTCCTCCAGAGGCTCATCATTTCCTAATGAAAATAGATATATAAATATATGATGGAGAATATAATAAAATATGTGACCAATAACAACTGCCACTTATTGAATACTAACTTTTTGACTGTGTTAGGTGCTTTATATATATTATTTAACCCCCATAAGAACACTATGAGGTGGATACAGATGAAAGATCCAAACTCAGAGAAAAACAATTTCCCCTAAATTAAAGCTGCTGAGTGGTAGAGTGTCTGACTCTAAATCATACACTCCGAACCAACATGCAGAGTTCTATGGGACCGTGGAAGTAAGAGCAGGAGGAAAAGCAGCACAGACAGGATGCTATTTAGTTCTAGACATAGAGAGAGAGAGTGGAGGACATTCCAAGTAGAAGGAACAGCACAGGCAAATCCATAGAAGGTTGAAGAAAATGGTGTATCCAGGGGATTTCCCCTGGCTGGTCTGGCTGGGTGTAGTGTTGAAGATAATTTGTTTGTGGCCAGATTATCAAGGACCTTCTGCATCATGGAAGGAAACTGAACTTTATCCTATAGGACATGGAAAGCTATTAGTACAAATGCATCTTAAGCTGAGGATTGACATGATCAAATGCGCTTTCGAGAAAGATAACTCTAGTGATGGTGTGGAAGAAGGATCTGGAGGGCAGTGACCACGTGGAGATAGGGGACAAAGTGAGACACTACTCAGTCTGGAGACTGTGGTGTTTTTATAGTATTGGAGAGCAGGCAAGTGTGAAGAAACTCAGAAAGTGCGAGCTTATATTAAATGGCATAGACTCCCTGAAGGGAGATGTCTAGAGGGGGGATTGGCAGGACTTTACCGCCAATTGGATATGAAAAGTGAGAAAGATAGAAGCGCAAATGATGAGGCCAGAATTTAAACTCAGGCCACTGGGGATATAGAAGTGTCATCAATGTAAATAGGATGTAAATAGGATGAATAGGGGAATAGTAGTGATACCATTATAATAATCTGGTTATTAATTAAGAGAAACGTAGTAAAGGGGAGACTAATATAGGCATGCTATTTATACAACTTTGCCAGAAAGCTACAGTTTAACATTCTCCAAGTCTGTTCCCCACAGATCAGCGGGTTGAAGGGACTGGACAATAGGTGCATGCCCAGTAAGGTCTGAATGATTTGGGAAGATGCTTACCTGTCAGTCACAACTGGGAGTGAGTCAGTGGACAGAAGGGTGTGAAATCTGAGACACTTAACTCCAGAACAAAGGGAGTTCTCTCTCTTGGCTCTTGTGCTCTGGAACTACTGTGGCTGGGGACTCACTCCCTGGAATTCACCCATGTGGCTCACAGCCATGTGGGACCCACACGATGGACTAATGGACTAAGGGTAGCCTAATACTATATCAGACCCAGCTCCACCCTGGAACGAAAATTCTGGATACTGACTGTGCTATGGGTTCTGCTGGAGGCCCAGCTACGTATTTTCCAGGGCTGGATTAAGAGACATGGGACTGTGCAACCCAAGAAATAAAATTCCATGCCAGTAAAAACCACCCTTTCTCCCATGTGAGTCTTAGAAAATTCCTCTCTAAAGATATTGTAAGAACCCCACCTCCACTAGTGACAGGGAATTGTAACCTACCCAATCTTCTGGCAACAATAGGGAAGAGTGAGGAATGGAGGAGAAGGTAATGGCTTCAATTTTGAACATGTTGAGTGTGATAGGCAGAATAATGGCTAACCAAAGATATTCATGTCTTAATTCCCGGAATCTATGACTATGTAACTTTGTATGGCCAAAGGGACTTTGCAGATGTAATTAAGTTAAGGACTTTAAAATGGAGAAATTATCCTTGGTTCTCAATGTGGGGCCATGGGTAATCACATGGATCCTTAAAACTTTATTGTCTGTGATAAAAAGGAGATGTGACTATGGAAGAATGGCCAGAGAGATGTATTGTTGCTGGTTTGAAGATATAAGAAGGAAAACATGAGCCAAGGAATGTAGGTGACCCTAGAAAGTGGAAAAGGCAAGGAAGTGGATCCCCTCCCTCATAAAGGAACACTGCCCTGCTGACACCTTGATCTTAGCCTTTTGAGGTCATGTCAGATTTCTGTAAAATAATACGTATGTGTTGCTTTTAGCATCTAAGCTTGTGGGAATTTGTTACAGCAGCAATAGAAAGCTAATAAATTGAGTATAGTATTCCCAAAGTTACCCAGGTGAGAATTGCAATAGGAAGATGCATGTGTGACTACACCAGTCTGGAGTTCCAGGTACGTTGATTTGGTGGTTATCAATAATAATGAAAGATGGAAGCCTTAGGTATGGATGAGAAGTTCCCTGCAAATCCAGAGGAAAAACTGACAAGAAGAAAAGTAAGGGACCCAAAAACCACATCATATTAGGGGTAAGTGGAGGAAAAAGATGTGGAAAAGGGAGAAAGAGTGGTGACACATACACAAACACTCAGACCTGCTTAAGATACTCCCTACCTTTTTGCCCTCCCTGACCTGAACTTGTCTTGTTGCCATGATTGCTTTAAGGAGTAGAGCAGAAAGGATGAAAGGGTGAGGGTCTGAAGATGCAAGGGCAGACAAGGCCTCAAGCTTGAGAGAATCCTGTGAGACCACAGGCAGGCCAGAACTAGGACAAGGGGAGTTAGGCCATTAACTCAGGTATAAAACTTGAGGGAGCACCAATAAAACCACAATAATCAAATTACATATTTTAATGCAGTATGTAAAAGTCAGAATTAATACACACAAGATAAAAAACTATCAAAAGATCTCTCTTACCCTAACCCTGGCCCTGCCAGCAGCCCCTGGGCTCTTCCAACCTGCCTGGGTTACCAAAACCCAGGAGAAAGAGACAATTGGAGACCTGAATGGTAACTCCCCATGTTTTAAATTCTTTAAATCAGGGCCCCTTCCCAAGGATATTTTAATTAACATTTCAAGTTTCACATATCCTATATAATAAAGAGCTAATATGCAAATGGTTGTCACACCGTCACACCTTAACGGCTCAGAAACTCAACACTAGGGAGAGAGGAATGGGGACCAGCCAGGCTGTGGCCCGGGAGAGGGACAAGCCGCCCACCCCATGGTTCTGGGCGCCTGCGGCTGTGGCCCAGGTGAAGCCGCCCTCCCACGGTCCCCTGCAGCTGCAGCTGGCCCAAGCAAAGCCGGCCCAGTCCTGGGTGCCTGCAGCCAGCCAGAGGAGGGAATCCTGGGTCCCAGGTGCGGGGAGAGGCAGAGGCAGTTAGGGGCGATCAGGCAGGCAGGAAGACAAGCGATTAGGAGCTAGCTGTCCCGGATTACAAGAGGCAGTCGGACATCCCCCAAGGGGTCGCGGATTGGAGAGAGGCCAGGAAGAGGGACCCCCCCATGCACAAATTTCGTGCACCTGGCCTCTAGTCTAAATTAATAAAAGAGCCAGTATGTATGTAAAATAAGAAAAACATACTTTAAGTTAATCTGGTATACACAGTTAAGAGCACAGCCTCTGGATCCAGATTCCCTGGGTTCTAATCCCAGCTTAATCTGCTAACTGCCTGTGTGATTCAGGTTACTGAACCTCTCTATGCCTCAGTTTCCCCATCTGTATAGTGGGAAATAATAATAGTGTTTGTCTTGTGAAGATAAGTTAATACATGTCAAGCATTATTTGAATGATGCCTGGCTCGTTGTCCTTGCTATATAAATATTAGCTGTGGTCATTTTGTCTTAGGTTATTCATTCTGTTGCTGGGGAGGTACACTGTAACATGAAGCTGACTGTAACATTTTCATCCCTGAATTCATGGTTCACACTTTCAATTTTTACCCTTAAGCTCTGTTCTCCCATTTATTTTCATACCCACCCATCTTATAGTACCCTGGGCTGTTGCTCTAGCACCATCTATGTAGAAGCAGCACTAAACCTGCCCCCAGCTGTGATAACCTCTCAATTAGTACAATCCAAGTCAGATTCAGAAATATTAAAAAATGTAAATGGAAATAGACAGCTTTCTTTTCTTTTGGGGATGGAAGGTGTCAGTCAGGAGCATAGCATCTTGAAAGATGGATGCCACGAAACACGTGCCATGATTTTCCCAACATCTCCATGGCAAGCATTTTTCAGGCTTGAGAAGTATCATTGGAGATGAGCTGCCCAACACTTGGACCCCAAGGCTAAGTTCCTCAGTTAGAACTACGATCTAAGCATTGCTGGATCTCCCAGGGGCCCATGATTAGGGAGCTCTGTGTTACAGGTATATGGAGCTGTTGGTGAAACTGTGGGGGTGCTGGGCCAGACTAAGGTCTTTTGGGGTCTGACTTGATGGGCTCCACTAGTCTTGGCTTCTGTTATGGGGTGTGGAACAAGCCTGTAACCTGCTTTCATCCCTCTCTCTGACCTCACCTTTCTCTCTTCTCCCTTTCAGAGTGGGATATAAACACAGGGAAGTGTCTGAAGACATTTAAACACAAAGACCCCATCTTGGCCATCAAGATCAACGACACCTACATCGTGAGCAGCTGTGAGCGAGGAATAGTGAAAGTGTGGCACATTGTCATGGCTCAGGTGGTAAAGGTGGGGGCAGTAGGCTGTGGAGGGAATGGGGCACTGGCGGTGATGAATTGGAGGAGACTGATGGTGGCTCCCTAGACAACCTTGGAGCAATTGAGTTCCAGTCACCAGAAGGGCAGTCCGAAAGAACTGAAGGGGAAGCCCCCCAACAAAAAAAATTGGCCATTGACTGTTGGTGGAGGGTCAGGGCCCATGTGACCCATGCTGTCATGAGGCTGGTATTGGAAGGCTGCATTCTGATTAGACATTATATATGGGCTCAGGATATTTTTACAGCAATAGAGAATATTCTACCCTGATTCTGGCATGGGTAAGGGAAGGAACAAAGTCACAGTGGTTTTTCCCCTTATTCTCTGATGAGAATGTTGGCTGTATTGAAAGTGACTGAATGTTCAAATACATAAAATGTTCTTGCTGGATTTGAAACCCCCTGGCCCTAGTGGGTGGTGGTGAGATATCATTTATGCCAGGAGCACAGGGTCACAGCTTTTTACCACTAATCTTGTTGTAACTGTGGTTTAACCAGCATTAGCAGGCACAAGGATGCCCCAGGTGCCCACTGGGTCCTGGTAAGGAGCTGGGGATGGAACATCTGGCCCTTCTCCTTCTGGCAAAAGAGGATGATGGTCCAGGCCCTCGCTGGTACTCCAGAGAGATGGGCCTGCCTCAGCCACAGACCCACCAGCAGTCTTCTCCCTGATCCATTCGCCCTTCACTGGGGAGGGAGCTCTGGAGAGAGGGAGCCTTATAAGAGCAAAAGTAAAGTTGGCTAACTAAGTACCAAGTGAGCAGTGCTCATGGATTGGTGGAGAGTGGCTTTGGAATTTACCTAAAGAAGCTTCTAGCTTTGGCCCTTGAAGGAGTCACACTTTGAGTTGACGATTGGCTGAACACAGGGACAACTTTTCTTGCAGATTCTCAGCGGCCATGAGGGAGCTGTGAAGTGCCTGTGCTTTGACCAGTGGCATCTCCTCTCGGGAAGTGTTGATGGCCTAGTCATGGCCTGGAGCATGGTGGGAAAGTATGAGCGATGCCTCATGGCCTACAAGCATCCCAAGTATGTGCCAGGAAAGCCCTGTCTGAAGAATGTAGTGCTCCCTCCTTTTCCTGTCATAGCTGCGACCTTGATTTTTGGTAGATCAGTCCCTTTTTCTGTCTACTGACCTTTTGTCCCCTTTGCTCCTCCCCCATTTCCTTTTTTTTCTCCTTTACCTATTACCTACCACCCCCTCTATTTGGCCAGTCCCTCTATTACCCTCACTTATTTCTCTTAAGAAATAACAATACTAGATGTGAATTTAGAAAAATGTTTGAAATTTTATACTTATGACACACGTGATAGACTGATATCCGTTACCTACTAAATGTCTGAATATTGGCAGAGCTGTCCCAAGTAATGCCAATTCTAGTAAACTTAATATGCTTGGAATTGGCGTTTACCCCAGGAAGCTTGTGTTCACAAAAGCTTGAAATGTTCCAAGTGAAAGGTTTAAAAATAATGGAGGGCTTTCTCTGTTTGATATGTTTAACTTATATGTGGAATCTAAAGAGCAATATAAATGAACAAAAAAAACAGAAACAGACTCATAGAAACTGATGGTTTCCAGATGTGTGGGGATAGCAAGCTGAGTGAAAAAGGTAAAGGGAATAATAACTGCAATTGGTAGTTACAAAATAGTCATGGGGGGGGATATAAGTTACAGTATAGGGAATAGAGTCAATAATACTGTAATAACTATGTATGATGCCAGGTGGACACTAGACTTATTGGGGGGTCACTTCTTAAATTATAAAAATGCCTAATCACTATGCTGTACACCTAAAACTAATATAACATTGACTGTCAACTGTTATTGAAAATACTAAATGAGGGCTCAGAGAAGGAACTTATTCCAGGACAATTCTATTCCAGGACAGACATGGATTTCATTTTACAATTCCAATCCCAGTGTAGTGGTGGTGGCTGCTTAGAACCATTTGAGAAGTAGTCTGAGGTCACATTGGGGCTTATTTGGAAAGGGTATTGTGGTCAGTTAATGGGTCTGCCATGGCCAAAGGTTTTACAGGCTGTTCTGTGCCACTCCGGTACTATGTGAATAATTCTTTTTCCTCTGAGTGCAATATAAACAATCCCAGGGATTGAAATGCTATTCCAATTGATTAAAAGAGTAAATGGATCTTCCAGGGGGATCTATCAGGGGATAGCTATTTAGTAAAACATGTCCCTAAATTTCCTTATACCCTCCAAAGAACTTCTTGGCAGGCACACTGGCTTCATAGGAGGTAGAAGGGGATTTGGGTATATATGTGTACTAGTGACTCGGTGCATAGATTTGTGCACATTGAAAGGAAATTAATTAGAAGGTGGCTGGTGGGGTGGGACTGGGCGAGATGGGCCGGACCCTTCGTGGAGCCAACTTCCCACCACCCCTCCCTGGCTGGCCGCACCTGGGGTGGCACCGTAGCTCAAAGGCATCTGCGGAGTGAGCGGGGTGTGGGGGGGAGGTCCCCTCCGGCAGGTGGGGTCCCTCAGCCTGGCCTGCGGGGATCAGGCTGAAACTGGCTCTCCGACATCCCCCAAGGGGTCCTGGACTGCAAGAGGGCACTCTGCAAAGTTGCTGTCGTACAGGGTGTGGAACGCAAATGCAAGTGTGCAGTAAACCAGATTTGGGGCCGACAGTGCCCCAGCAACAACATAACCCGCAGTCGAAGATGGAATCGCACAACCCCATGAGGAATCATGCTCCCTCCTCTCTGCTTCAGGGTACTTCACCTGAGAACCACCGCTGCCAAGTCATTGCAGCTCAACAGCTCCTGCATTGAGTGCCTGCCCCCTGGTGGTCAGTGTGTGTCATAGCGACCGGTCAGATGTAGGGAGGGACACTTAACATATTAGCCTTTTATATAGATAGGTATCCTCTGTCTGTGATGCGTGACTGCATTCTTGATGAGTGGATGCTGAGAAGGGCCTGTGTTCGGTGATTTATCCAACCCTTAGGCGACCGTCAGCAACTCTTCTAGCATGTCAAACCTGGACCCCCAGGAAGGAGTAAAACCTGATTATGTCATCTGAAATTTGTAACTATATGTTTTTAAAACCTCCCAACCACAATTCAGTAGGATTTAGTCTAAGTATTGGAAAATAATTTGTTCCCAGAAAACCCAGCAGTTTAGTCACTATTCCACCAATCCATGAGCCTCCCACTCCACCTCAGCTATGAGACATTCTTAAACCATTGTCACTCCCATTGAATGGGGACCCCAATATACCATTCACTTTCGTTCTTGATACCTTGCATAGTTACAGTGAATCCATAGACAGCTGGAGGACATGGTCAATGCCCTTCTTTATGGGGCGCCTCTTCCTACTCGTCTCTTATGTACATATACTGGTAAGTACTCAATAAATATTTTCAATTGATTTTTAATAAGGACTAATTTGATAGATTGCCTTTCTGGAGAGTTGTCATGATTGGACTGATACCCATCTTTTGAATATGATAGAGGTGTAAAAACAGACATAGTTGCTATCTGTCTTCTTTTTTTCCTCCAAAATTAAGATTATGCATATAGTGTGGGAGACAATAGATAAGAGAAATAAAATTAGAGGATACAAAGTAGAAAAGATAGAAATGATGATCCCTAGAAAAGTTTTGCACTCTGTAGTATCTTAAAAAACACACACCCTTTATTCTTTAATGTTTTATAATAATACATTTTTTAAATTTTTAAATAAAGATAGAATTTGCATAATATAAAAGTCATAGTGTGCAATTCAGTGATTTTTAGTATATTCATAATGTTGTAAAACCATCACTACTATCTAATTAGAGAACATTTACATCAGTCATTGGGAATGTCCTCTGTTTCATTTCTGATTTTAGTGATTTCAGTTTTCTCTCTTAGTTTCTTGGTCAGTCTAAGTAAATAATTGTCAGTTGTCTAGCCAAAGGTTTGCTCATCTTTTCAAGGAACCAACTTTTGGTTTCACTGATTTTTCTCTATTGTTTTTCAATTCTCTAATTCATTGATTTCTGCTTCAAGCTTTATTTTCCTTCTCCGTGGTCCACGTTTAGTTTGACCTTCTTTTTCTAGTTTTTTTTTTTTTTAAGGTGAAAGTTAGGTTATTGACTAGAGAAATGTAGGCATCTACTGCTATGTACTTCCCTATGAGCAAATTTTCCATGTTTCTTTCTGTTATTCATTTGTAAGTTAATTTATTGTAGTCAAAGAACTTAATATGATTTAAGCGTTCAAAACCTATTGAGATGTGTTACTTGACCTAACATAGGGCCTATCCTAGAGAAAGTTCCATGTGCTCTTGAGGTTAATGTGTACTCTGCTGGTATTTGTTGGAATGTTTTGTATATGTCTGTTAGGTCTAGTTGGTTCCTAATGTTTTTCAGGTCTTTTGTCTAGTTGATCTAGCCATTATTTAAAGTGTGGTATTGAAGTCTTCATCTATGATTGCTGAGTTGCCTATTTCTCCCTTTAGTTATGTGAGTTTTGCCTCATGTATTTTGGATACTGTAGTTAAGTAAATATGCACTTATAATTGTTATATCTTCTTGATGAATTCACCCTTTTGTCATTATATAATGTCCTTTTTTATCTCTATTAACAATTTTGTTTGCAAGTCTATTTTGCGTGATATTAATGTAGCCACTCCAGCTCTTGTTTCATATGGATTATCTTTTTCCATTTAACCTCTCTGTGATTTTTATTCTAACAGGAGTTTCTTGTAGACAGCATACAGTTGAATCACGCTGTTTTTAATCTTTTCTTCCAATCTCTGCTTTTTACTTGAAGAGCTTAATCTATTTAAATTTAATATAAAAATAACTTATTTTACCATTTTGCTATTTGTTTTCTATAGTCTTGTGTATTTTTTGTTCCTCAGTTTTTCTTTTATGGTCTTCTTTGGTCTTAAAAGGGTATTTCCTAGTATGTTATTTTAATTCCCTTGTCTTTTTTTTTTTCCTTTCTATCTATTTTGAGTTATTTTCTTAGTATTCGTCCTGGGGATTATAATTAACATCTTACTTTATAATAATCTAATTCACATTAATATTAACCTAATTTCAATAGTATGCAAAAATTGTGCTCCTCTCCTCTCCTTTATACTCTTCTTATCAGAAATTGTCTTTATGTCCTGTGTATCCATCAGCAGCTGTATTTAAATGAAATAGAAAAATGAGTTATAAACAAAAGATACATTTATATTGTTTTCTTATATTTACTAGTACCTAGTTACCTTTATTGATGCTCTTTATTTCTTCATGTGGATTCGAATTGCTACTTAGTGTCCTTTCATTTCAACCCAAAGGACTCTATGTAGCATTTTATATAAGGTAGGTCTGCTAGTGACAAACTCTGTTTTTGTTTATTTGGGAATGTCTTAATTTATCGACTTTTTAGGATGGTTTTGATGGATATGTAAATCTTAGTTTATAGTTATTCATTTTTGTTTCAGCACTTTGAATATATTACTTCGTTCTTCTGGCCTCCATTGTTTCTGATGAGATATAAATTAATGTAATTGAGGATCGTTTTCATGTGATGAGCTGCTTGTCTCTTGCTGCTTCCCATGCTTTCTTTGTCTTTTTACAGTTGATTATATGTTTAGATCTCTTTGAGTTTATTTTAATTAAAGCTTGCTGAGCTTCTTAGATGTGCAGATTATTTTTTCACCTTATTTGTAAAGTTTTGAGCCATTATTTCTTCAAATATCCTTTCTACCCCTTCTCTCTTTCTGGGACGCCTGTTTTGCAAATGCTGAGGTTTGATAATGTCACAAAGGCTTCTGAGGCTCTGTTCATTTTTTTTTTCTTTTTCTGTTCTTCAGACTGGATAATCTCAATTGACCTCTCTTCAAGTTCTTTGCTTCTTCTGCCTGCTTGATTCTGCTGTTGAACCCCTCTAGTGAATTTTCATTTCAGTTATTGTTATTTCCAACTCCAAAATTTCAATTTGGCTCCTTTTATAATTTCTAACACTATTGATATTCTCTATTTAGTGAGACACTATTCTAATAATTTTCTTTAGTTTTGTACATGTTTTCCATTAGCTATTTGAACACATTTAAAATAGATGATTTACAGTCTTTGTTTAGTAAGTCAAACCATTGGGTTTCCTGGGGACAATTGCTATAGATTACTTTTTTTGCTATATATGGACTATACTTTCTAGTATTTTTATGTTTATACTAGAGGCCTGATGCATGAAATTTGTGCAACAGTAGGCCTTCCTTCCCCCAGCTGCCGGCGCCAGCTGTCCTCTGGCACCTGGGACCCGGGCTTCTCTCCAGCCGCTGGCAGGCACCTGGGACCCAGGCTTCCCTCACAGCCCCGGCTTCATCTGGAAGGTAGTCCAGAAGGACGTCCGGTCTAATTAGCATATTATGCTTTTATTATTATAGACTAGTGGCCCAGTGCACGAAATTTGTGCACATTAAAAGGGGATTCATTAGAGGAAATATTTTAATATTGCTATTTGCCCAATCTCTATAATAGAAGTTTCAGAGATGAAAGAAAATTAGTAAAATGTATATGAAAATCTTCCTCCTGTCAGAGTCTGGGGCACACCACGGGACACAGAGTCAAGTCCCCGCCCACCCATGTGTGCCTCAAAATCGTGCAAGACCCAGACCCGGCTGGCCCCACCCCCATTGGGCAAGATCTAGACCCGGCCGGCCCCACCCTTGTCTAACCCTGCCAGGCAGGGTTGCAGCCTGAGGTCCCCTGGCCCGGCGCTGGGTGGGGGGGGCGCAGCATGAGGTACCCTGTCAAGCCCCACCAGGTGGGGGTTGTGGCCTCAAGTCCCCTGTCAAGCCCTGCCGGGTGGGGGAGTGTGGCCTCAGGTCCCTCATCAACCCCGCTGGGTGGGGGGAGCGGCCTGAGGTCCCCTGTCAAGCCCAATGGGGGCAGTTGGGTGGGGCATGGCCTGAGGTCCCCTGGCCTGGCGCCCATGGTGGTGGGCGCAGCCTGAGGTCCCCTATCAAGCCTCACGGGGAGGGGGTGTTGGGGGGGGCACAGCCTCAGGTCCTTGCTGATTGCTCGTTAAGGCTCATTACAGGAACTCAACCTCCGCTGTGGGTGCAGCCATTTTTTGTTACAGAAACCGCCCCCCCTCCACTGTGGGTGCTGTCATCTTTGTGGCAGAGTGATGGTCAATTTGCATATTCCCACTTTATTATATAGGAGATAATTTTTGTTGAAAACTAGACAATTTGAATATTTTATTTTTTATTATTAAATTTATAGGGCTAATATTGGTTAATAACATTGTATAAATATCAGGTGTACAAATTTATAATACAACATCTGTATACTCAATTATGAGCTCACCACCCGAAGTCTAGTATCCTTCCATCATCTTGTGTTTGACCCCTTTTATCCTCTTTGTCCTCCCCCCACCTTCTTTCTCTTCTGGTAACCACCATTCTCTTGTCCGTATCTATGATATTTTTTATTTGTTCATCTGTTGCTTTTTGTTTTATATCTTACATATGAGTGAAATCATATCGTTTTCGTCCTTTTCTGTCTGACATATTTTATTTAGCATAATACTCTCAAGACTCATCTATATTGTTGCAAATGGCAATATTTCATCTTTTTTATGGCTGAGTAATATTTTATTATATAGTATATGTATCATGTCTTCTTCATTCAATCAAACAAAAATTGAGTAGTTTCCATGTCTTGGCTATTATAAATAATGCTGCAATGAGAATAGAGGTACATCTATCTTTATGAATAAATGTTTCCAATACCCAGAAGAGGCATTTCTGGGTCACATGGTAGCTCTATTCTCAATTTTTGAGAAATCTCCACACTATTTTCCATAGTGGCTGCATCAATTTACATCCCACCAGCAATGTATGAGGGTTCTCTTTTCTCCATATCCTCTCCAATATTTGCAATTTCTTGTCTTATTGATAATAGCCATTCTAATGGATGTGAGGTGACACCTCATTGTGGTATTAATTTGAATTTTCATTATAACTAGTGATGTTGAGCATTTTCCCATGTATCCATTGGCCATTTGTATATCTTCTTTGGAAAACTACCTATTGCGGTCCTCTGCCCATTTTTTAAAAATAGAATTGTTTTTTTTTCTTGCGGAGTTGTATGAGTTATTTATACATTTTGGACATTAGCCCATTATTGGATGTGTCATTTGCAAATATCTTTTCCCATTCAGTTGGTTACTTTTGTTTTGTTGATGGTTTCTTCAGCTCTAAAGAAGCTTTTTTATTTGATGTACTTCCATTCATTTATTTTTGCTCTTACTTTCCTTACCTTTGGAGAGAAGTTTACAAAGACCCCTCTGAGACCAAGGTTCATAAATTTAGTGCCTATGTGTTTTTTTTCTATTTATCTTATTGTTTCAGTTGTTATATTCAAGTTGGTAATCCACTTTGAGTTAATTTTTGTGTATGGTGTCAAATAGCTGTCTAGTTTCATTTCTTTGCATGTGATTTTCCAGTTTTCCCAACACCATTTATTGAAGAGACTTCCCTTTCTTCATTGTATGTTTTTGGCTCTTTTGTTGAAAATTAGTTGCCCATATATGTGTGAGTTTATCTCTGGGCTCTCAATTTTGTTCTATTGGCCTATGTGTCTGTTTTTCTGCCAATGCCATACTGTTTTGATTTCTATAGGTTTGTAGTATAGTTTAAAATCATCGCAGAATGGGATGAATGAGAAGAGCCATGTCTTGAGGGTTCATGGTTTACATCCAGAATTATGAAATGAGGGCAAACATCACTTCAGGGATAGTTATAACCACTGACTCCTGACCATACACAAAATACCCAGAATTACAAAAGTCCCAAGCAGCTTACCAAATGACACACCCTGCCTATTGCTCTGTCCCCTTCCAGGGAAGTTCTCCACGTGGCCCTGCTCTTCCTCCGGGTCATCAGTGCCTGTGCAGATGGCAAGATCCGCATTTACAACTTCCTCAATGGGAACTGTCTGAAGGTGATGAAAGCCAATGGCAGAGGTGATCCCGTGTTGTCCTTCTTCATTGGCGGCAACAGGTGGGTGGTCCGAGCTATGAACAATTCTGTTTGGATGATTTTTGCCTCCTCTGGGCCACCAGCCCTGGACTTCCTGGCAGTAAAGCTGGGCTTCGGCTGGAGGAGAGTCATGTTCTCATGGGAGACTAAATGGACTTTGCACCAAACTTAGCAATCAGGGTTCACCTCACTCCTGATTTGTCCTGGACGTCTGGGCTACTCATGCAGTGAGTGCAGCATGTCCTTAGCTGCAGGGACCACAGCTCTGAAATGGGCAGTGCCTGCTTGCTCCCTGAGCCCGCACTCACTGCCCCAGAGCTCCACCCACTGTCTCTGCAGTCTCACTTCAGATGCCCCAAAGTGCAGGAGGCAGGGAAGGCATGGGCAAAGGGTCCCGTGTTCCCTGGGACAGTGCTGAGCAAATGAATTTACAGAAGCCAGAACTGGGACTAGATTAATTGTATATATAATACTGTGCTTGTTATATGCCATGTTCAGGGTGCTATTAGGTGAAATATACCCAAGTAGAATTCACTTTTGAAAAATTCTACCACAGGCTCACTTTAGACATCAAGTTAATCTCCATGAATCATATTGCCTTCTCTTTAATGAAACTTTACTATTTCTGATCTTAAAGAGGGAGCACTGGTAATAAGTCTCAATAAATAAACACTTTTCAGTCACGAGGTAATACTTTTTTTTTTAATCACCCCTGATTTTTTCTCACCCCTGACATCTGAAGAAAGACTATTTCCTTTTGGCTTGAGTAAAAATAAATCAGAAAGAGATTTCTAATTGGAATGATTCCCCAAATTTTATTCCAGTGTTTTCAACCAAAACAAGTCACTCTCTTACAGAGTTTATACTAACCGTTATGATCTTAAAATTTCAACCTTTGGAGCAGAAAGGAACCTACACACAGTGTCTCTGTTTCTTGTTTATGGTGAGAGAGGTCCAGGTAGAGCAGAGAAAGTGGCTTTCTCTGAGCATGACAGAAGCCATGGGCAGGCAGGAGGCAGTTCTTGGGGGCGGGGAGTGTGGCGGGGGGCTAGGTTTAGAACTCCTTTCCCACCAGGTCATTAAAGTGGGGATTAGGGAAGATGGAAACCATCCTGCTTTAAAACATCCTACATGTTCAGTGTAAAGTAGAGCATGCTCAGAGACCTTGGAGTGATGGAGTGAAGGGGAGTGGACTGGAGGATCATTGAGGCGGGAACCTCTCCCATTAAAGAGTTTTCCACACTCCCATCACAGCAATAGAAACATGGTATTTGGATGCCGAGCTTAAAACAAGGGTGAATTTCAGGACCTAACATTCATGCAAAGTACCTAACTAAGCCTTCTGCCTCGAGCATCCGAGGTGCTTGGCACTCACTCCAAGAATGTAAATTCTTTTAAAAGTATTTTAATTCCAAAAGCAAAGTAATTAGAACATATGTGCCCTGCTTACATTTCATTAACAACAACAACAACAACAACAAATAGGTACAGAGCCCATGAGCCCTGCTGCACGGTCTGCTATCCTAGACCCTTCAACAACCTACACCCCCTACTGGCACAGTAATATCCTGGGGAATTTTCCTTGACTGAGGATTGGACAGGACAGCAGTTTGCGTGCAGATCTGGAGGCTGGCCATGGTGGCCTTCATGCTCCTTTTCTGGGCAATTTTGTTGTTTTTGTTCCAGGATGGTGATCAACACAGAGAGCAATATCCTCCTATTCCAGTTTGAGAAAATCAAGTGGCAGTACTTCCTGGAACGGACCAAACAAAGAAAGAACAGGGATAAAGAGGACAGGGAGGAAAACCTCCCAGAAGTCACATCTAAAGCTAGCACTCCGATTCACAACCTGGGGAGCTCCATATCTAGTAAATACCTGGTGGCCCAGGAGTCCCTGTTAAGTAAATCTCACAAGTCCCGCGTTCACCTGTTGGCATCTAGGACAACAACAGGTAAGAGAACTGACTCCCAGGCCATCAGAGTGGTACCCAATGGAGCAGGTCTTGGGCTACCAGGACTAGTTTCTTCATGGTATATTTTGTCCAGTGGTTTCTTGATGATATAAATGCCACCTTTAAGGAAGGTGGGAGCAATTTTCTTTGATTCACCAATTTGTTAGCCAGCTCAAGGGAATCTCCTGATTTTTAAGGCCTAAGTTTTCAGATTATTAGCATCTTTGTACAATAGCTAACATTAGCCCTTAATACTTGTTATTAAAACAAAAGCAAGCAACCAACATCCTCCCTCCACACCCCCTAGCCAAACATATGGTACGTAATTATTTTCTTAGGACAAAATCCTATATAGTGAAAGGCTAATATTCAAATCAACTGAATAGCAGAACAACTGGTTGCTATGACATGCACTGATCACCAGGAGGCAGACACTCAATGCAGGAGTTGCCCCCTGGTGGTCAGTGTGCCAGAAGCTGGGCTCACGGCTGGTGAGCACAGCAGCAGTGGCAGAAGATTACCTAAGCCATCAGTTGGACATCCCCTGAGGGCTCCTGGACTGCAAGAGGGTGCAGGCCAGGCTGAGGGACCCCTCCCCAGTGCACGAATTTCATGCACTGGGCTTCTAGTGTTGTTATAAGGCAGAAGAAAAATGTTGTATGCAAATGTATTATCTCTACCCCTGATTGAGAACACGCATACCTGGAAAATATTAGTTATGAAGCAGGTACCTCTGTATGTGTGTGTGTGTGTGTGTGTGTGTGTGTGTGTTTAAGTGTGCAGTGGAGTGGCATGGCTCATGCCATTTATAAGACATACAAAGAATAAATTGTGTGGGGACTAGAGTAGGCGAACTCCTTTTATTAACCTACTAGAGGCCCAGTGAATGAAAATTCATGCACTGGAGGGGGGGTCCCTCAGCCCAGCCTGCCCCCTCTCACAGCCCGGGAGCCCTCAGGGGCAGGAGGTGACCTGGAGATCAGGGGAAGGTGATGCCCCCATCACACCTCTGCTGCTGCCACTGCCGGCAGCACAAGCCTCGGCCGGCCATGTTTACCTGAGCTTCAGGCAGCCCTGGGTGGCTGGGCAGTCACCATCTGAGGCATGTCTGTGCCTTGGGCCGGTCTTGGGCAGCTGGGGTCTGAGGGGACTGGGGGACTCAGGAGGCAGGCACCTCAGCAGTGCTGAGGGGACTGGGCGCCACCATCTTGTGGCTGTGGGCGCTGCCATCTTTGAGAGAATGATGGTCAATTAGCATATTCCCTTCTTATTGGCTGTGGACACCACCATCTTTGAGGGTGGGGCAGTAAATTAGCATATTCCCTCCTTATTGGCTGTGGGTGCCGCCATATTTGAGGGTGGGGACAGTCAATTAGCATATTCACTTTTATTGGCTGTGGGTGCCACCATCTTTTGTGATGGTGTGAGGGTCAATTAGCATATTCCCTCTTTATTAGATAGGATATTTGGTGTGTGAAGTTGGACCTATAGATTAATAGATCACCTCCCAGAATATAGAGGACGGAGAGTTTCAGATAATGCTTAGAGCTTAATAATCAGTAGGTGGGGTGATCAATCCTTAGGCTCCAGGTGACTATCTAGTTTCATATGACAAACAATAAGATGATGGTTTGAATGAAAAACAATCAAATTATCAGCTATGCCCCCATTATTCAGGCTTAATTGAATTATGTACTTACTATGGTTTTTTCATCAATCTTAATTTAGCAGGGTCATTAGAGGTGCCTCAAAGTCAAATAAAGCTAAAATCACCCCGAAGAGATGGAGATGGCAAAATGAGAGTGAGTGCTGTTTCTAAGGAAGTCATTAGCTCAGATAGTGAGCGGGAGAGTCAGGAAGCAAAATCCCTTTCAGGAGGTAAGATGGATAGTGATACTTTAGTCTCAGTGGCATGCTCCAACTCTCTCTCTCTATCTCTCTCTCTCTCTCTCTCTCTCTCTCTCTCCCTTTGTTCAGTCTAGTTTTTTTGCAGATCATTAAAGTTGCTTATCTTTGAGAATTCAGAATGTATAAAATGCCTGGCTTTTCCTAAGAGTGATTGGTTTTACTTAATTGTTTTCTTAAGAGCTTGAGGCCATGCCAAAACCAGTTTGGCTCAGTGGATAGAGCGTCGGCCTGCGGACTGAAGGGTCCCAGGTTCGATTCCGGTCAAGGGCATGTACCTGGGTTGCGGGCACATCCCCAGTGGGGGATGTGCAGGAGGCAGCTGATCGATGTTTCTCTCTCATCGATGTTTCTAACTCTCTATCTCTCTCCCTTCCTGTCTGTAAAAAATCAATAAAATATATATATATATAAAAAAAAGAGCTTGAGGCCACAAAACGAGAAACTTTGTAAGAGCTAAATTTCCAGTTTTGGGCTCATAGCCTGACTTCCTTCCCTGCCATTTAGCCTCCTCAGTTCCTGGACAGTTATGTGATGAGTCTGAGTAATGAGGAACAGAAGAAAGAAAGGAAGTTATGTCTGATTTCAGAGGGTGTTTTAGGGGATTTCATGAAGAAGGAGATTTGGGGACAGGTGCTATACATATGAGATAAAGAGATAAGAGAGATGGGGAAGGGTCTTTTAAGAAGAATTACTGGACATCCATAAATAGTATGTCCCTTTGTTTTTGAAGAACTTCGATAAAGATTTACAATGCCTTTCAAATAGTTTGGTTAATACAACAGTGCTTCTTTGAATCAACTCCCTGCAGAGACTAGTTTTAAGGTGAGGGAAAACAATTAAGTTTTAGAAGGGCTCTACTAACAGTGGGTATCTTTGTATGTACCTATGTCTGTGTACCTACGTAGATATACACCTATAGTATAAAGTGCTAGGAGAGGCTTTGCTGAGCCAAAGGATAGCTGCATTTAAAAACTAGAAAGATATTGTCATGGTTGTCCTTTAAAGATGGTGTATCAATTTACCATCCCACCAAGAATGCATGAGGACTCCCACTGCACCCATGCCAACAATCTAGCATTTTCTCTCTCTTTTTTATTTGTTAATTCTCATCGGGGGAGATATTTCTATTGATTATTAGAGAGAGTAGAAGGGAGGGGGAGAGACAGAGAGAGAAACATTAATGTGAGAAAGACCCATAGATTGGTTGCCACCCAAACATGCCTTGACTGGAGCCAGGGATTGAGCCTGTAACTGAGGTACATGCCCTTGACCAGAACAGAACTCAGGACCCTTTCATCTGCAGGCCTACCCTCTGCCCACAGAGCCAAACCAGCTAGGGCTATCTATCATTTTGCACTTGCTTATATCATACGAATAAATGGTCTTTGCATTTCTTCAAGAATGATCACTAACAAACTAAATGTTCATTAGTGGGCAATGACTAATAATAACAAATATATATTTTGCAGATACAATTATATCACAAGGAGATATATATATATATATATATATATATATATATATATATATATAGACTTGTAAAGAGATCCACAATATATCATTATATAGAAAAGACAAGTCAATGAACAAAGAGTTATCACAATTTTTATAAAAAGAGAAAAAATTGTGTGGTTTGTCATACATGTACACACATAGGTGTGGAATGGTTTGTTCTGGGATTGAGAGTGGGGAAGATTTTGACATCTTAATTTTATTTTGTTTTATATGTTTTCATAAAATATTATTTAATTCACAAAGTGAAAGGGAGAAATATGAAGTTTTATTCCATCCTAGTATGTCCATACACAAACATCTTGGGATAAGGAAGATTATATGCTTAACACATGGTCGCATTTTATTTGCTAGTTATAGGTTGCTATAGTTGGTGATATAGACTTTCACTTGCTGGGTCTGACTAAACAAATGACTTCCACTTTTCATGACTCAGTTATTCCTTTCATAAAATGGGAATGCTACTTTCAGTGTACCTGTGAGGTATTGTAGGGGTCGAAAGGCCCGACTGAGATATAATAGCACTGACGTAGTAGATTTGCTCACCTGTGAAGACATTCTTAACTCAGACCTTAGGCACCTTGGTCTTGACCATGATATAGAGCAGTGATGGCGAACCTATGACACGCATGTCAGAGGTGACACGTGAACTCATTTTTTTGGTTGATTTTTCTTTGTTAAATGGCATTTAAATATATAAAATAAATATAAAAATATAAGTCTTTGTTTTACTATGGTTGCAAATACCAAAAAATTTCTATATGTGACACGGCACCAGAGTTAAGTTAGGGTTTTTCACAATGCTGACACGCCGAGCTCAAAAGGTTCGCCATCACTGATATAGAGTGACAGGATGAATCTCTGGTTCTTGTCAGCAGCTTTTGGTGCTGCTGCTGTTGTGCAAAAAATTTCAGGAACTTTCCCAGGAGTGACATATCTTTTGAAAGTAGTTTTGACTTTAGAAAATGTCCAAAGATCATTTGGAGTCAAATTTGATTAATAAGATAGGAATCCAATTTTGTCATTCAATTTTTCTTTAAAAACAGGTATGTTACTATGAATTTCTAAGGCCTATTTTGTGTGAATTATAAATGAGGTATGACATTTCAAAATATGTGTGGCGCATTGGGATTACATATGTTCCCTCCATAATATGCATCTAGAGGTTAATGCACACTTACACACAAGTACTAGCATATTTGTTAATGACTTGTTGCATTGAATATGTCATAATTTCTGGTATCATGGAGGATTTTTGCCCACATGATGGATGACATGTCCATTGCGCAACAGATATGTCAGTTTGCATCCCAATTAGAACGGATTTAATTTTCATGCTTAAGTACTTAATGCTTTTCATGGGACACTGATTTCTTTTCTTTTCTTTTGGAAAAACTAGGTGATATGGAGAGAGTACCCAAAAAACGACAACTGGAAACTTTTGGACACTGGCCCAAACACTCAAGGAGGAAGTCCCAGAAAATCTCTATGTCGCCAGACCGGTTCCTACTGACAGTTAATGCCCTGCAGCAAGCCCGTCATTCAGGGAAGTATGCCTATCCACATAGGACCCAGTCCCAAGTCATTGATGTTTGGGAACCTTCAATTTTGCACCCAAGGAAGGTCCTTAGTTTCAAAGGAGAATCATTACAACATGCAGTTGACACGTTGAGAGTCAGCCACCCTCCCATAGATGTGAAACAAACCAATATTTCCCTTGAAATCCAGAAACTGCAGCCCAACTTGAAGAACTCTTTGCACGATTCCCGAATCCAGTCTTCCATACCCCAGCCCATGATTATCCGCTCCAGGATCTCTGGCAGCTTAAAGGTTGAAGATCAAGTCACCAGTTCCATTGACGGGGCAGTACGCAGCTTCAGACCCTTAACCAGCCTGCATGTCATTAAGGCAAACCGCATGGTGGCTCCACAAGTAGATACGACAACCCAGCCTGTCAAGAAAGAACGGCCTTGCTTCTGCACGGCCCTGGATCCATTTAGAATTAACAGCGAATTCATGCTGTTGACTGTGAGGGAGGAGAAAGAGTACGAGGAAGCCAAGCTGAAAGAATATCAGGCCACAAAGCCCACTGGAGTGGTCAACCCAGAAAGGGCCAGAAAAGCTGCATGGATCAGGAAGATCAAAGGCCTGCCCATAGACAATTTCATGAAGCAAGGGAAAACCGCAGCCCCTGAACTTGGTCCAAATGTATTTATCTGAACCAGCCTTGTGAAATTACAATGTCTTGCAATAAAAAGGAAACCAAGTAGACATTGGTGTTTGGCTTATTTTATTTTATTTTAGTGAAGTTGGAATGACATAGGGAGGGTGCTTGCTGTCAGTCAAACCTAGGAACAGAAATAAGTGGGGTCTGTGAAAATTTGGGAATACATAATCCCCAGGAACTCGCTCTCTTGTTCCTGCTTCCTTGCATTTCATGTTTCCTCCATAGCCATGTGGCCCTGCGGACCCCACACACAGTGGACTGATAGATGCAGGTGGGAACACAAGCTAAGCTACCCTGATGCTGGACTGGACACTGCTCCCATATGGAAAACTCTGGACACTGGCTCTGATTCCAGCTCTGCCGAAGCCACAGCTACACTGCTTCCTCCGCGGGACAAGGGGACATGGGAGCTTGGGAACTCGGGGGGTTTAATTCCACAGAAATAAAGCTTTCTACAACAGCTCATCCTCCCGTGCGAGGCTCAGAAAATTCCTTTTCTCGGGAAATCACGAGAAGTGCACTCCCACTAGCAACAGATGGAGATGTGGAGATCTCCCTACCGCTAACAGTATCAGGGTCCAGGCAGGTGATTTAGAAGAGTGCAGTCCACCATTGGCGAGTTCAAGCCCCATCCAAAGGGGACTGCTCCTAGTCTGTGGCCCAGCATGGCCATAGGATGCTGTGAGATAATAGAAAATATCTATTGGCCTCTGCCCCTCGTTCTTGGCACAGCTCCTGAAAGCCCTGTAATTTCCCAAGCAATAAGAATAATAGGAATATCTTTTGTTCTAATATTTGTCTTTAACCCCCTCCCTGGCACAGACATCTTGAAACCTTTTAATTCCTAAGTGATAACAACACTTAGTGTTCTAATGATGTCACTGGGTGGGCTCCTGGATGGGCTCTTATCACCAGAAAAAACAAGCCATGAGGTTTGGAAAGAGAGGCTGTAAATGGAGTTACGATTAGACATGCCTGCATGAGGAAGCTCCATAAAAACCCCAACAGCAGGGGGTTTGGAGAGCTTTCCGGCTGGTGAACACATCCACATCCTGGGAGGCGACACACCCCAGCTCCACAGAAGCTCCTGAGCTCCGGACCCTTGCAGACCTTGCCCTATGTATCTCCATCTGGCTCTGCGATTTTTTTTGTTTTTTTGTTTTGTATCCTTTTATAAACTGGTAAATGTAAGTGTTTCCCTGAGTTCTGTTAGCTGCTCTTGCAAGTTTATTGAATCTGAGGAGAGGGGTCCTTGCAACCTCTGATCTATAGCTGGTTGGTCAGAAGCACAGGTGATAACCTGGGTTTGTGACTGGGATCTGAATACGTGTGTGCGTGTGTGCGTGTGAAAGAGAGAGAGAGAGAGAGAGAGAGAGAGAGAGAGAGAGAGAGAGAGAGAGTCTTGTAGGACTGAGCCCTTAACCTGTGTGATCTGATGATGTCTCCAGGTAGATAGTGTCAACATTTAATTAAATTGTAGGACACCCAGCTGGTGCTGCAGAGAATTGCTTGATGTGGGAAAAACCTCAAGATATTTGGTGACAAGAAATTAAGTGTTTTATATGAGTAGTAAAGAAGACACACAGGAGAGAAACACAGTAGGGAAGAACTAGTTTTTTTCCTACACAGGATATAACGTGAATTGAGATTTTCCTATACAGATGGTAATGAGTTCAAATAGTATGCAAAACAAAAACAACAAAAACCCCAACCCCACAACCCCTCACAACCTACATGGCATGGGCTGTCTAGATGCAGAGGTAACCTGTTCACTGCCTCCACTTTTCACTTTCAAGTACAGGAATACTATTGTTTGCCAAATTGAAAACAATTTCTTTTCTTATTAGGTTTAAAGTAGCACTGTCAAATAGCCATGTAACAATAGAGATTTTAATAGAAAGAATTCTCTCAATTAAGGAAATGTGCTAATTCACATTATTCCACGAGCCTTCAACAGCAGCTGGACCTGTAGGCCACCCGGTAGGATGCTGTTATGATTAATGTCAAAGCTGATTTACGACCCCTGAGTTTCACATCCTTCATATGGGCAAGATCACACCATTAGCAGCTGAACTTAAAACAGTAATGCGAATACCATCTTCTATTTACGAGGTGCTTACCCTGTACGTTACCATTATCATCCCCACTTTACAAAGAAAGAGGTACAGAGGTTAGCTAATCAATAAGAAGAGGAGCGGAGGTGGGGGGCTTTGGGGCAGCTCAAACCCAGAAGCTCACACTCCGGGGACCAGCTCTCAGCCTCTCTATTCCTTACTCTTTCCGGGTGTGTTTTCCTCTCATAATTAAACCCTCCACTACTTACTGGAGTCCTGCTTTGTTCTTCTTACTAACTTTTTTACCCCTTCGCAGGAGCACATCAATTTCTTTCCATTGCTTCTAAAATTTAAGGTAGAAATATGATACCCTCGCCTTCGGACATTGATGCTGGTAGGAATAGTAGTAATAGCTCTCAGGTGGCACTAACACCTCGATGCGGCTAGCCACCCCCCCGACTCGCCCCGCACAGCTTGCCGCGTCCCTGGTCGCTCCGCCCCCGAGTCGCCCCGCCCCAGCCCGCTTCTCGCGACCCTTCGCCACGCACTCTCGGGCCTCCAGCTTGCCCCGCCCCCGCTCTCGCCCCGCCCCCACGCTCGCCCCGCACACCGCGTGTTCGCCCCGCCTCCACCCTCGCCC